GCTCAAAGGCCATAAGTGCCGAGCATAGGCCCAAATTTGCAGCCCTTCACCGGCAATGACGTCTCCATATTAGTGAAATATTCTGGAGAGGGACGTTAAACAGTATACAATCAATCAAACATAAATGCTTTGAAAATATTTTCCTTTGCTCTTGGGTATTATGCCAATGATCTTAGTAAATATTTATGACGAAGAAAGCTGCCTCTTCCAAAATGGTTAATTTCCAGGCCCTTGGGACAGAGGTAATTGGGGGGGGTGGGGGTTGGGAGTACATAGTCTGAAAAAAATATTGCTTTGAAATCTGCACTTTGGTATTAATCAAGAACATGATGAAATAAAATTTCCAAAAATTTTGAAAGATGTGGTCCCAGGGTCAGCGGTTCCTGTGGGGTAGGGTGGACAACTGATAAAGAGGAAGTGCATTTTCTCTTTGTTACTCTGACCACCTATGAGTATTAAGTAACCAAAGTAAGCATATTAAGTGTACAGTTATGATAAGCAATGGTGACTCTTTCAAAACTGTGAATTTCATGGCCTCTGGTTTAAAACAAAAAATCAAATTCAGTTGTTGGAAAGTTGTTGCAAGATACTCAGGTGACCTATAAGGCCTCTTGTTATTATTATGTAATTTTATTTCAACATGTATATGTAACATCAATCTAATTAAAATTAGATGTTAGATCCGCTCGCATACTCGCTACACTAACGAGTATGCGAGCGGATCTAACATCTAATTTTAATTAGATTGATGTAACATCGGAATATTGTTCCAAGAAAAAGTGGATTACATATGTAACTGATGTTTAGCATTGTATTTTGTTACTTCCTGTTGTTTTTCTTTGTGCATATATGTATAATTATTTATTTAATGGTTTTTAACTTTTTTTTCTATTATCCGTATATTATTCTTATAAATTTTTAAATGTGCCTATACAGGTGTCTTTAAGCAAAATTGAACATTATTAATATGATTTTGTCTCTTTTGCATCTTATATTATAAAAGCTGAACAATGAGTTGTTTTAATAAGTCACATAACATGTATAGCTAGTCATCATAACATTATATTACTTTACGAACTGAACAATGAGCTAACTAGTTATATGTAAATTGTATTAATGTGATTTATGTGTATTTATATGTAATCATAATTGTTGTACTAGTATGTCATGCCCCACGAGGCCCTAATTTGGAAATAAATTCTGCTCTATTCTATTATCATTAGTCTTGGTCAAAGAAAAATGGTAAAATGATCTTTAGAAAAGTGAATTAAAAATTTAAATTGAAATCTTTCTTAGACTAAAGGGAGGTAGTGTAGCGAATAACAAACTATTTTTATTCCACTTTATAATTTTGGAGAGGTGAGTTTAAAATTTGCATTTTGATGGTGCTAAATCATTGCATGGACCTAAAATAACATCAGTAATTGTATATTGTAGTTCCACATACTATTCAATAACTATATGCAGATTTTCTCCTACGAGGATTTATAAAGAAAAAAATATCCAAAAAAAATAATAATAAAGATTTCTACATTGTGTATTTTTTGCACCGATTCCTGTTGTACCACTGCAGTTTGAGTAAATGATATAAATTATAATTTGTTTGACTTACATCCAAATTGACTGGTGGCCGTGAAGGCCCAGGTATGTCCTAGGATTACCCAGCTCATACTAAGGAAACGAATACCATTCACTGCTGTCAAACTTCCCTTTGGTTGTGATGTGTTCAAGATCTTCTTGGCGTTTGTGTAGATGGAGAAGGATAATAGAATCTTTCCAAAAACGCCTGTTCAAGAGATAAGTAACCTTTGAAAAAATTGTGAAAATTTAGGCAGGATTCTTCGTAAGTAATTATTTTTCTATAAATTGATACCGTCTTTATTTTTGTCATCCTTCTTGTCCGTATCTACATTCGTCGGATTTTCATCGAATGATTTCAATTTATAAATGCCATCGGAATCCATCGACTTGTTAACAGATTTTTCATCCATTTTTCCTGATTTGTATATTGGATACTGAATGTTGACAAAGTCGTATAGGGTTCCAAGAATCATAAGAACAAGAAAAACACCTAGGAGTGTTCTACAAAAAAGTTAAATAAGGATTAAACTAGGTAAATTATGTCTAATGGAAAATATTTTTGAATATATGTTTTTAAATGTTTTTAAATATTTTTTTACACTCACTGTTAGAGTTCCAATGATCATTTAAACTTTTACAGAACCAAAAAATTATTTTTTTTGGATTTTGTTAAACACTTGATTAATTTGTTACTTCCTTCGACAGAAAGGAATACATTGTATGTTTCAAGTTCCACATCTTAAACGAACGAGCATGTTATTTTTAACAGTGTATCGTGATACAAGCATTAAGGCTGACTTACATGACAGCGATGTCCCTCGTTTTATACGGCCTTTCCTTCACACAGTCCACATTTGTTGCATAGAATTTTTGATTTCTGATCGGAACAGAGTCAAGAACTTAAGAATAATATTAAAATAAATTATCAAGCATTTAGTAATGTTATATATAATTTCATTTAACTTTATTATATTAGTTTTATTATTATTTATGATTATCTCTTGAAATAGATATGGTTAAGGGGAAAAAAAGAAAATTAAGTTGAATATTTCGCGTACATTGACTAGACAAAAGAAGAATATCGTTGTTGCTGCACGATCTCGGAACACAAACTCCAGCCTTGATAAGTCCTCCACCGAAAATTCCGAGTAACTATTCGAAAACAAAATTAGGTTAGATATTAAAATAACTATTTCTGTTACTGCTATTCTCGTTGCGTTTTTAGAGAAATAGGAAGAATTTTAGGAACTTTTACATTCAATTTGGTTCTTACCCCTCTCGCTGCTGGGGGCACCGGTGGATATATACTAACGGTACAATACTGTGGCTTAACCACAGGGATAGAGGTGTTTCTTGGTAGAATATTGGCCTGGTCAAGAACAGAGGAATCTGCAATGCACTCATCATAGGACCCATACCAGTTGATATTGACATCAAGTATATCGGGTGGAAGTTTAGCAGAAGCATCCAACACTATAAACGAAATTGTTTCAAATAAATTTTATTATATTATTAAAAGTAGTCAAATAAATTTAATGGTATTTGTATTTCGCTATAATAATGTGATTTACATGTGTATTCTGCATGTATGTTATTTTTATCATTGTTTTATTTTTTTAATAATATTAAGACATCTTTATGTTATAAAGCGAATGTCTGATGAAAATGTTAGGTATATCAAAGGAAGTCGTACAGTACAGTTAAAACCAAAATAGACTGCCCTTCCTTTAAGGACCATTTTCTGAAACTTGAAAATTTGATGTTATAAATACTTACTTTTTAAGGCCCATGACTGGCGTTTTGAAAGCCCTGATATTGTATTGATAATTTCTTCTTTACATTGATTGGAAGATTTTATAGACATAATTTTCGAGCGCAAGATACTAAGAACGTACGGAGCAATCGTTTCGGCATTTAGTCCTTTGCTTATAATTCCTGGAAGTGTGTTTGGACTTGGATTAAGATTGCCTTTCGTTAAATTTGCAGCTATTGACTTGATCACACCTTGAAGAACCTTTGGATCTATGTCCTTCATAAGTCCCATAATGTTCCCTTTCATCAAGTCCGAATACAGCTGAATTTGTTGTCCTATTGTGTCATTTTTTATTATTTTGCTCAATACACCCTGCAACAGTTTAGAAATTTCTTGAGAATGAGAAACAGAAGCCAGTTGTGGAAATATTTCCTTCAAAATTGTCTGAACTTTGTTGTTACCGAGTACTGTTTGGAGCATATTGTTAAGCGAAGTAATGTTACCAGCTGCTGTACTTGCTCTTCGAAGTAGTTTTTCCCTGGAAAAACTGCTTTTCCAGGAATTCATATCTTCAGATTGTAGAAATTGATTCAGTTTCTGCAAAGCCTGGTGCTTGGTATGGGCATCAGAAACATGATTCGCGTAACTTTCTACATCCTGTGCAAGTGAGTGGGAATTCGATAACAAGACAAAAAGTATAACACAGCATTGTGTGAATATATTCCTCATTTTTGATTGTTACCTGTTGCTCAAGTATTTCGACTTGTTACGTTTCTCAGTTATAGTAGATTTAGTTACATATTCACAAATATACTCGGACACTTTATGCATTTAATCAAATCACGTGTAATAGCCATGAATAATGCTATTGATAAGAGGGTGTGCGAGGTAAAATGGAGTACATTTATGGCTATAAATATATATGATATGAGGTGTTAATGGATAATACTACTGATAGTGAATATGCGAGGTAAAATGTAGTACATACGTTATGTATGAAGTAAGGGTATCTACATGTATATCTAAAATTCAGGTTAAAATTAGGAGCATTTTTACCGGTACAGAGAAAAAAACAACAGCTACTTAACAATAACATTACCTTTTATCAGATTTATTCGTAACCAATCCGATATAGATATTTTCGAAATGTTAACATTAGTCAATTTTATAAATTAACATGACTGTTTTGAGATTTCACTACAATTTCACTGCATTTGCAATATTCTTTTTCACATGTTTGACACAATGGATTTTAAAACGATTAAATCCAAGAACCAATGGCCCACACCGCACACTGCATTACTTAAAAGAACCAATGGCCATGTACAACGATCACCTGAGTAACTGCACCAGCATATTCTTCATCCTATTTACTGTAATGTAAAAATTTGATCACCCGTTTTAGCCCCTCCCTACCCAAAAGGAATTATGATTAAAATCTAAATCTACACTGCCAGAGGAGCTTCCATGTCACTATGGCAAATATAGGCTTTCCTATTCTGAAAAATATTTTTCGTCAGTATTTCTATTACGGATTCATAATTTGAACTAATTTGAATCTACACTAAATGGGGAGCCTTCTTTATAAATATGAGAGATAACGGATTTGTTGTTCTTGAACTTTTCCTTTTGAAGACGTTTGCTATATAAAGTATAGCCAAGTAAAATCAAAATCCATCCCCTATCCAAGTGGGGTGTTGATTTGAACAAACTTTCATCTACACTACCCAAGGTAGCTGCAGAACTGTAGCTCTCCGAAAATATACATTGACAGACCGGAGCTCTACAGTGTCGTCCATTGTAAAAACTGTCTATTTATTGCGCACAAAACTTGCGCTTAGTTCACGAAGTGCATTAGACCGAATTATCTTACAAATCAAAATGGCAGTAAAAATGGATAAATTTTTCGATGATATCAATTTCAGGGACAGGAGGGATATTAACAACAGTTATGAGGAATGTGTTGTTGTGGAAACAGTGAGAGAATATGTTAGAAACACACGGTTCATAATATTTTGAGATGACTGTTTAAATACATTGAGAAATAAATCGAGAAACAGCGAACTTTTTTGTGCGCAATAAATAAAGTTTTTTTTCAGTGGCACTGTAGCTCTCCGGTCTGTCAAAATATTTTTTTCAGAGAGCAGTTCCGCAGCTATAACCAAGGAGGCTTCCACATAAATATAACCAATCGTGATTCGCTGATCTGATGAAAAATTCTTATTAAAAATGCGTTTTAAGTTAATATAGTCAAAATTCGTTTAGTACGAACACGGAGATTGCAAATTTACGGATATATCGAAGTTATCTTGGATCCCCACCTATACAAATATAAGAATTCCTAAACGGTTATAACGAAGTAATTTCATATGTCCGAGTGACTTTGCTATAACCGAGTTTTACTGTATTTTGATGTCCAATTCTTGGCGCTACTCTGTCGTTGGACCCAGGGGTCATGCTTTGAAGAAACCTAAAGTTACACAATCTGGGGATATTTCCATATAATTATAATAAAATTAAGATTTTCTCTCATGTTTTTGTTCCTACGTCAAGCTTAAATTGCCCATTTGGGACCCCACCTTACATGTACCACGAGAGTTACAACTTGAACATACAGGAATCTATCCTCCCTAAGGATGCTTCATATTAAAAATAACACATTGCACTCTTGTTCTTGAGAAGATTTTTCCTACTTAAATAGACCCATGTAAACATTACTTTTTCCATAATAAATGGTCCCATCCTAAAACCAGGAGTCACGTTTTCAACAAACTGGAATCTAAACCTGTACGTAAGCCTTAAAAATCTATTTTTAAAAATTACAAATAAGATTTGTATTCCGACTCATTGCAGTAGAAGGTTAATATTCGTGACTATTTACACACTTATATACACGCTATTTTTTTTTATATCCGTCTCATTGCTTCAGAAGGTAAATAATCGGGACCATAATTTCCGATTAAACTGATTAATTGTGTTTGTAATATTCCAACTGTTTCTGATAACAAATTAGATCACTTGGAACATTTGAATATTTAAGATACAATTTAGGTTGATGCAAATACTTGTTAATGGTAATAGTTTCCAAAGATTTTTGTATTCTTTCAAAGTTTTCTAGTCTTGTCTGACCCCCTTATAATATGTTTATATTTTGTTTTGCGTCATTTACTTCAATAAATGACATTTTTTCACTTTCACTACTGTTGTTATTTTAATTTTAATCCATCAAAAAACTAGCTCAGTTGACTTGGCTTCGGTCTTGCATAATAACAGAGGAACATAAATAAGTTATTATTATTACAATAATAATATCCTTTATGTGACAGAGTTATATTAACTATAATTGTTTTATTTGTTATAATTTATTTCTGAGGTAACATGTTTTATTTGGTAATTGTAGAGTTGTTTCATGTTTAAAACTATTTAGATCGGGATCAGTTACCTAATTTTAATCTATGACACCATTGTCTTAATTTACAGCCAATCAGCGTGGCTTCTCCTAATCACGTGACCATTGTTTTATTTTTTTAGCAAAGGAGAAAGCCACACAAATTTACAAGGAAATTTTTTATCGAAAAACCCTCCATCCACCCCCCTTTCTTCCATCGTCTTATATTATATTTGTTATATATGTACTTATATTAGTGTTCATATTTATTTGTTTGGCGTTTATTTTCTTTTAACCCACCTTTTTTGATGACAGGCATATCAGTGCCTGCTTTATGACATATGTAATTTTAGGGGGTCAGATTGCATAATATGTTACCAAAGATTTTTGTATTCTTTCAAAGTTTTTTCTAGTCTTGTCTGACCCCCTTATAATATGTTTATATTTTGTTTTGCGTCATTTACTTCAATAAATGACATTTTTTCACTTTCACTACTGTTGTTATTTTAATTTTAATCCATCAAAAAACTAGCTCAGTTGACTTGGCTTCGGTCTTGCATAATAACAGAGGAACATAAAATAGTTTTTTTTAATTGTGTACAAAATAAAAGTTCTGATAAATAGATAAATATTTAAAAAAAACATTTAACTAGTGATAAAGATTGATGTATTTTTAATCAATTTTTAAAGAGTTGTTTGATTGTAAAGGATCACTTCATTATAAATAGGGATCTGACCTATAGGAGCGGGCTTGGGTTTTTTTTTCTATACAAAAAGCTTTTTGATTTCCATCCTCATTAATGATATTAGGCTGAGGACATATAACAATTTGTTTATCCTAAATCTTTATTTCAGTGAGTAGAGGTAGGAGGAACCCTTTCATTGATTTTTTTGAGTTTGTTATCTCCAAATGTAATAATTGATATTTGTCTTTACTTCTTATTGTGCATAATGGTAATGTCTACTGTCTCTGAAATTCTATTCTTTATGTCTACGCTATATATCCGTCGATATTAAAAAATGTCATGGATGTTTACAAATTATATAGGCCTATATGAAATCCAAGGGGGTACAGTTACTGCTATATGTAGTCAAAATCAATCTGATTAAATTCCAAGGAATATATACAATTGAAATTCATCGCAGTTCAATGCTGCCAAGAATACCTGTATCGAGTAACACAGAGTGAGTTATTCTTGTTCTCGGAGAAAGTGAGTAGTATAAGGCGCCTAGATAGGGGAGCATTCTGATTGGCTAAGACGCTGGGGGGGGGTTCAAGTAAGTGCACTTTTGACCCCTAAATACCGCTGGA